CTTTTGGTTACTAAAAACATTAATTAGCAAAATAGTCATATGATGTTAAAACCAAACTGTCCTACCAAAGGTGGGCTCAAAGAAGTCACCACAGGCATAAAAGGTTTAATTAGTTGGTTTTATGTGCATCACAAACATTACCCCTTTTTTTTTTTCCCTAAACAAACTGCAAGTCTGCAAGAAACTTGTGTTGAGCTAGTCTTTTGCTGTCATTTTTCCCACAGCATGTGCTCATTTTGTGTCGCTGAGTCAACTCTTGGTAATACTCAGAACATTTCAAATGTTTTCCTAACGCTCACTGCCACCGAGCAGATTCCAATGCAGTGACCCTACAGGACAGGGTAGAACCACTCCTTTGCTTTTCCTAGTCTATTAATCTGCCCCCCACCCCCCATCCTCCACCCCTGAAGCTACTAATATCTTCTCCAGAGCAGAAAATCTCAGCTTTCTCCCTGGGAGTAGGCTGGTTGTTTCAAACTGCTGACCTTGCAAGAAGCAGCCCAACTTATAACCACTATGCCACGAGAGTTTGCTTCATAATAACACCGCACTCTTAGTAGACAAGAGTATGAACATAGCTTTTTTATATGTACTGGGTTACCAAAAACAAAACACTGTGACCTGAATTATTGTAATATTCGCTTTATTGGGTGGTTTAGAATCAAATCCACAATCTCTCCAAGGTATGCCTCTAAAATGTCATTAAATGCAGAGATAAATAAAAACTATCTGGAAAGAATGAACAAGATCAGCATACTCAAAGATACCTCCCCTCTCAGAGAGCTAGTGATACAAGGAGATTCCCAAGTGGAGTAACACTTGGGTATGTAAAGGCTATCTTAAAGAGTCATTAGTGAGGTACAATCATTCAGAATGCTTAAGTGCTGCCAGAGTTCAACTGCTATCTTATGAACTTTAGCACTGAAGGTCTAAGAGGAAAAGAGGGAATTCCAGAAAACATTTAAATGAGTATCATAAATAAAATAGAAATTATAATTAATGACTAGAAAAATAAAGAATAAGTGAACAGCCTAAACAAAGATAATAGATTGGAAATTTGGATATCTCAACTCAAGATGTGTCCTCCAACAAAATGAGTAAAAAAAAAAAATGTGTCAGCACACATACACACACACGCACACTAGCTGATTACTTCAGCTGATTACTGATTTTCACCTGGGTCATACCTTTGGATATATATCCATACATGTATGTGAAGTAGGTGGGTGAATCAACAATTTTAGGTCCCCTATTAGTGTTGCAGAAGTAACAAATATATCTAACATGAAAATATGCTTTTTAAATATTGTGTACTTTTAAGTAGCTAACATCCTTTTTATTATGGACTGTTCCTTCATTGGGATTTGTTTTCAAAAACTGCTTTGGCCTTAGGCCCCCTATTAGAATTTATTATGGAACAAAGTCCAGGATGTTTGACAAAAACACTTGTATAAAGTTATGACACAAACGGAAGAAAACAAAATATAATAATTATGAGATGCTAGAAAATAGTAATGTAGTAAAAAAAAAATCTAAGAAATTAATCAGTGAAAGAAATCAATGGTGGCCAAAATAACTATAGGCTTCACTTGTCACTCATCGGTATTCTAAACTATTCTGTATCTTATTGCTTGATGATTCAAGGATAGCATCGTGCAAGAAACAACCTGCTAAGCAGCTATGCTTGCTGATGGATTTTGATCCTATTATTTTTCACTGTCCAGGACTAGCTAATAAAACTACAACTGAGAAATTTAAAGGGCACACAAAGATTTAATGCCTGCTCTTTCCTCTTTCTTAGTCTCTACCTTCTGGTGTTCAGAGTTCCTTAAATAAGGAAAAGGAGAATTCAAAGCTGAAATACTTCTGACCTCCTAATCAAGTTTCCCACTCCAGATTGAGGTACTCCTGGTTCCCTTTCTCCATTTGGATCAGGACTCTGTTGCTGGCCATTTTGCTGGTTTCACTCTGGTTCCTAGCAAATGCCAGGCTCACCTGGAGAGCAAGTGAAAAGAGAGGCTCATATCAGAAAAATAAACCCAGATATCAAACTCTGCAGAGAACTAAGCCTGAGTCATTGGAGCAACCTTCCAGGAAAGGTTCAGGGATCAATACAGATGGGAAAAGAAGTATGGGGGGGAAAGCTTACTGCAGTTCATCACATTAGGCTTTTAGGGGGTCAACAAAGTTAAGAGGGATGAACTAAGACAATTTAATTCAATGCACAACTTTAAGGAGTTAGTCAAACTTTGACTAATGTTTGAAATGAGGAAGGAAATTACATATTTCTGGCTATTTTTCTAAGTTTCTATTAGATGGTTCTGGGATATGAAGGATAATACGTGAGGATGTTGGGCCAGGGCTAAAGAATCCAGCAAACTGGGTACTTGGCATATATCATACAAGGCAGACCAGTCTCATATCAAAGGCTCAAGTGCCTGAAGTCCAGCTGTCATTGAGTTTGAATAGGCTTTTAGTTAAATGGCACTGTTTGCTTCCAAGGTCCTAGATTTCACCCACATTTGTCACCAGGGTAAAGGTGAGTGAATACACAGGTAGCATTGCCCAAAGCAGGCGTGGATTTGAGGGTCATATTAATTTGAAGGTACGGAAAGCCGGAAAGAAAAGGAGGCCCTGTAGTCGAACTTGTAAGTTCTTTAACATATAGCATAAAGGAGTTAAGTCTGTTCATAGGATTCACTGGAGAGTGGAGCCATCAACTTTCCTCTTGATACACAAATTAGAAGTCTCTTTCTAGAAGAGAAATGGCAAAAGAGAAATTCCAAAATTTCTCATAATAAGGAGTTACATGTATTAGAGACAGCTTACATCCTGGTCTTCTCTCTGGAAACAGAAAGAGTACCTGTCCAGAACACAGTATTTGAGAAGTGTCAGAGCATGAAGCCTCCTGGGTCTAGGGAGTCTCTCAGAAGACCTGCTCCTCTAGCTTTGGGGTTGATCAAAGTTACTCAGGAGTCATACTGGAGAGAAGACACCATGCTTGAAGGTGCACAGAAGCTGGAAATGACAGCTTTTTTTTTTTTTATATGACAACCTTTCAGTAGTTAACAGGTTAGTGAGATACAACACATCCATCAACGTGACCTCTGTTGTCTCTCTTGTACAAAGTATTAGTTTGTACAAGGGCAAAGTCTGAGAATTTAAATAGAAGTAAATAAAAAATGTCTGAGGACTTTCCTCTTCAGAGATATTAAAATACAAGATTAAGTACAAGAGTATGGAATTAAATGATGTAAAATTTTCGTATGTTAGCCAGGAGAGGGCAGTGTCCAAAAGAATGCACTGCCGTGTTCAGTGCATACTAAAGAACAGAGGCGGGAAGACCTGCCTCTGCATGCTTGCCCTGTGGGTCTGGGAGGTCAGGCCATCTTTGCTCCACGCGTGAAGGATCTGGACCTCTGCAACCCCCACTAAGAATGCCTTGATTCAGAAATAAATTCAATCTCGCTCGCTCTCTCAGCTACTCTCATCCCCTGAGATAGAACAGAAACATTTGTTGGCATGAACAAAGCGATAGTGTTTCCTACCTCCCTCTTCCTACAAAGAATTTCAAATAATAAACTGCAGTAAGGCTCCTCATTTGTTCCTCTGTTCTCTTGGCAGGTTGCTTGGGGGCTCAGGCTCTGTTCTCTGCAGTGTTGGTGGTTCTGGATTTCCTTTTTTCTGAGAAAAAGTCTCTCTTCTCTTGCTCTCTAGCTGAACCTGCTACTTTTCAGGTCTGGTGATCCTGGCCTTAGGACATAGACCAGAATTGTAATCCAGGAGAAAGCTAGCAAAACAGAATCTTAATTCAAATGAACTTGGAAGATGGTAAATCTCAAACTGGAGCAGAAAAATTGATGGGACAAGAAGTACTCTACCTTTTCTGGAGTTCTTGTTTTGTTTGTTTTTCCTCTGGATAGAACTCATCACTGCAACCAAGAATGTAAAAAAGGGTGGGAGGAAAGGAGAGAAACGTAAAGACAAACCATCATGTCCTATGAATTCTCTACAACACCTGGACAGTAAAAAATCCTGGGGCAGGATCAGTCATTCACAAAAACCTCTACCATGGCACCAATCTTAGAGAAAAGGCACAGGGAGTTGCTACTTTCATGACTAACTTGTTATTAGCAAGAAAACAAAAATTACTTGAGAAAAGGGAGGGAAAACCCATTTCCTGATCTACTTGGTACCTAGTCAGTTTTCACAACTGCAGAGTTTCTCTAAAGGCCCTTGAGATGGGCCCACAAGAATTTAAGAATCACTGCTATTGGTTTAAAAAGTAATGCAGATAGGGAGTCTACTGATTATACCAAGAAAGTCTAGGTACTTATAAATCACTGGTTTACAAAAATCCAATTTTTTGAAGGAAAAGATAGCATTTAAAAATATTTAGATAGCTCTCAAGGAGTCTCTCTTAACTATTGATTTTTTTTATTGGGAAAAGTATCCAATACAGAATTCACAGAATTTCTTCTTGGAACATCTCTATATAGCATGGCATTGATAGACTAGTATAGCAGAATGTATACAGATTCTTGACAAGTCTATCTCCTCACTAGCTCTTTAGGAGTGGAATAAATAGAACCAGACTTGAAAAGTCATGCGTTATCTGACCTAGATAGCCCTAATAGTCCTTATTAGATAGCCCTATGACAGCCAACAAGTAAAATTACAAATTGCTAAAAACTAAATTTTATAGAGGGCACACATGGATTTCAATCTATGGCTCTTCTACTGTACACATTTCTCAATTAGGTAAGTTTTATCCACATCATCATAAAACAACTTTTGATTAAAAAGGAAGAATTTTTAAGGGTTGTATGCTAATAAAGATAGAAAAGCAGCTCGCAATGTGGTTGTTGGAAGTCTCATTTTAAGAGAAAACATTGACCTTTCATGTATAATAAAATAGGTCTTTTAAAAAAATCCATGCCCAGAACATAAGTTTGCAATGAGAGTTACGGTATGAGGCAAGAAACAGAAACGGTCCCCACCTGCAGTGTACAGTTCTCTTTTCGTTTGAGGAACTCCACAAACCTGGCCACAACTCCCGGTGTGCTGATCACTTCGTCAATAGGAGGATTAGGTTCTGTTTCCCCAAAAATAAAGAGAGAGATGAAAACAATCCTTTGAGTGAAACACAAAGCTTTAGAACTCTTTAATTCATACTATCTTCCCTTCCATATTTTTATCTCTTCCATGTTGGAAAATCCATTAAAAAGAATGTATAATTGAAATAGGTTTGCTCTCTTGTCACACAAAGGTAGTTTGAAAGATAGCACAAAGAAGCTAAGTTATCATGGGAATGAAACATGGGCAAAGGTCTTAATCAAAAATCATAAGTAAAATTATGACTCCACTATCCTAGAAAACTTAGAATGCAGGAGAAATATCATCAAAAGACAACCACTGCTAGTAGTCTGGTATTTCCCTTTTAACCCTCTTTAAATGCATAAGCTTTTAAGATTAGGGGAGTCGTCCAAAGGATTTAATGATCAGGAGCGATAAAGAACTCACTAAGGGTGACATGCCAAATTAACCACCGTTTAGTAACATCCAACTTTATGACGAAAAAGACAGTTTTTTTAAATCTTTAAGATAATTCCCAAGGTGGAAGTTATCTGTGGGTTGATTTTACTGTGAAAATTATGCCCTTAAGATGTTACCATTCAGTGAGACATTTCTGACGAGAAGCCACATGAAGCTACCCACCCTGACGCAGCCAGAGTACTGGGAGCTGGAGGAACCATGTGGAGACACCTGCCAGCACTCAGATGCTTCCACCGCCACTGCATCCACAAGACTTCCCACCCACTGGCCTGTGATCTTCCTGCATTCGATGTTATTGTATGTGTTTTGTGAGTCTGAAGAGGACTTTATAGATTGGTATCGTATATAGGCTAATATCAGACTTATGGACTTGATCTGGACTGGGCTGGAATGTTTTCTCAATATTCAATTGCTCTTGTATATAAAGTTCTTTCTTATACACATAAAAAAAAGAGATGTTACCATTCTAAATAGTTATTCAATAAAAGCTTGCTGGGTGATTAGGTAGGAAATTTCAATAAAAGTTTAGCAAGGTTTTCAATGACATCCATACAGCAATGCCAGAGAAATGGCAGGTGGATTATAGTTCTACTAAAGCAGGGGGTCCCAACCTTCTTCATGCCGTGACCCTTTAATAGTACATGTTGTGGTGACCCCCCCCCTCCCCCGAGTTAGTTAATTGTGCCAACCTAGACAATAATCACATGTGGGGCTAATTGAAAGGCGGAGGGATAAATGGGTGGTGAGCCTCGCCTTTCTAGTTCTCGGGTCTCTTGTTTTGTGATGGTTGCACCAGGGTGCCGCTGCCTTAGCAGTTCCCTGCTTCAGCTTGCAAGATTGACTTCCTATAAGACATCCCTAAGGAGAAGCCACATGGACCTATCCCGATGCAGCCCTGGGTGCTGGAGCAGCCCTGTGGAGACCCCTGCTAGTGCTGAGACGCTTATTTGTTCACTGACTCAGCTTTCCTCCTGCAGTCGGCATCACCCTCTGTTTTGTGAGGTGGAAGACTTTGTGGACTGGTGTTGGGTTAATGGCTTAATGTTGGACTTGTGGACTTGGGCAGCATTGGGTTGGGATGTTTTCGTGATGCACATTTTCTTTACATAAAACTCTCTTATACATGAGTTGCTGTGGCTTTGTTTCTCCAAAGTACCTAGACTAATACACGCCCCCAGCAATAAAATTATTTTCATTGTTATTTCATAACTGTAATTTTGCTACTGATATGAATCCAGCAACCCCTGTGAAAGGGTCATTCGAATCTCAAAGGTGTCGTGACCCACAGGTTGAGAACTGCTGTACAAGAGAGATTTCTACCCAATTACTTTTCTTTCTCTACAACTTACTGTTTTTGTAATAGATAGAATTTTTAGGAATTTAATATTTAAAATTGTATGTTAGAAGTCATATACTGATATATGTGTAATGTGACTACACGTTTAATTGTTCAAGGATGTTGACTTATTTATGATTTACGGAAAATGAAAGTTATATAATAAAACCTTAAATTATATGTATACACAATATAAAGAAAATCACAGTATTTCTTTTTTTTTTCCTGGCCGACCACCCCGTCCCCCCTAAAATCACAGTACTTCTTTGATTTCTTAACATGTTGCAATAACTCAGTGACTGTAATCATAAAATGATTTATAATAAGCAAATCAATGTTTAGCTCTGCCTCGCTGGGTCTTACATTACCATGTGAATATTTGTTACAGCTGTTTTCTGTTTCATAATGTTCCAAGGAAAGAAAAGGAGGGGCAAATTATTACAAAAAGATTTATAGCGACCCACACTGTCGGACATCACAATGTACTTAAAATAATTCATTTTATGATTTGTAATATTTAATGTAACAAGTAAGTTTTTGTGACTAATCAAAGTTTTTTGTTTTAAAAAGCAGCTACTGACTGAGTCCATTACTGTAATTCATGCTTTCTGCTTTCTCTCTATAGTTACCAGATCTATCAGTTAGAAAAGTTTAACAGATGTTATAAAACATTTGGCATCGAAATAATTTAAATCAATTGATATAAGACCTTTTTAGGGCGGAAACATTCTTTTATCTTTTATGTAAGTGTAATTTTTATTATGCATTAGGTGGGGGATTTACATTTCGTTCATCAACTCTGCATTCACAGTTCAAACCACCATGAGCTCTCCAACCCCATATTCTGTTCCACCCCACCCCATTTCTCTTTTCCTAGTTATGGACCTCTTTCCACCCTTTCACCCAAATCAAAACCTGTCACCCTTCTAGTCCGTGTCTTCATCTTCCCACCCTTGCCCTTCTTATGTTAGGATCTTCCAAAGTCTATCCAGATTACAAAGTATCATTTTCCTTGCTACACTAATACAAGAAAAGGTAGCTTCCCAGCCCACCAAGATATCCTTATTTTAGTGTAAATAGTTAACATTTAAATCAACAACAATGATCTTTCAAGTGATATTTTTAAAGTTTTTCTTTTTTTTTTTTTGTTTT